CATGGTTTCAGGCACCCACTGGTGCCTGGGAGGTCTTAGAACATATCCCCTGAGGATACAGGGGACTACTGTATTATTAATTCTGGTATTTTTACATCCAGTATGTGCCTGGTATGGATTATAATTAGTATTTGTATAGTGCTTTGCAGTTCCCCATTATAGCCAATATTGGTTTTTACTTGGTGCCAACTGCTTTATGTAGATTGCTTCATTTAATCCTCACAACAACTCAACAGTCTATGCCATTAATTATTTCCATCTCACAGATGAAGAAACTGACTTAGAGATAAGAAGTCCCTTGTCCAAGGTCATGCAGCTACCAAATAGCTTAGTTGGGATTCAAACCCAGGCCCCTCTGAGCCCAAAACACTTAATTCCTGAGATGTATCACAGGGATTCCCATTTCATAAGTGAGAGTGGTGATGCCCAGAGAAGCTAAAGAATCGGGTGAAGGCCACACAGCTGGAGTATAGGTGGCACTCCTCTTTCCTTGCACTGCTCTGGATTTGGCCTTCCATCTCCTGACCACATAGGACCGTATCTGGCCAGCTATGATGGCACAGTGACCAGTGGGCCTTTAGCACCGAGTTCCAGACCCGTCTGGCTCTGGACGCCTCCATTCTGGTTCTGTTGGTACAGGGAGCACTGTCCAGATGGTGTTTATTCTCACATGACTACTGTGTGTGTATGTATATTTGTTGATTAAAAATATTACTTGCTCTATTTTGTAGCAACATTTAAAAATATTACAAATCTCCTACTGCCAATAAGCGTGCCAATGTTTTCCTTAACCCCTCACTCACCTAGTAATAAGGTTCGGATGATACCACTTGGGCTGGGACTAGGAGATCAGAGCCTGTGACTCACCTGTGTAGAACCCCACTGTAGCTGTTCTGGCCCTTGGATCAAATGTGATCTTGTGCCAGGGCGTATGGTCTTGCCTTTGCCCGACTCTTTGGCCTGATCATCTGGTCCTACTCTCCTTCTTACACACTGGCCTTCTGTCAGGCCGTTGGACATGCCAGCTTCAGTTCTTCTTTGAGACTTTGCACTTACCCTCTCCTCTGCTTGGAACTAGATCATTTTCTCCTGGCTCTGCAGATGTAAATGTGGAGGCAGAAGTCTTGGCATTAGTGTCATCTCCTCTAAGAGGTCTCTCCCAATGCCTGTGGCGTCCCATAACTACAATATTGTGTTTTATTTTTTTCTAGCACTTATCACTAACATGTCACTGATTTTTAAGACACATTTTAACATCTCTGAAATAGAGATGTCATAAAACAGGTGGAATGGTAACTTCATTGGTGTTTTTTGTCTTCAGGTTATGTAAAAATAATGGTATGATTTATAGCTGTTTTAGGTCATCTTAGGTTGGATGAAATAAGATTTATAAGATTGTTTACTTATTGATTGTCTCACCTCCCATTAGAATGTAAGCTACATGAAAGCAGGGGTCATGTCTTTCATTGCTGTTTCTTTCACCTTCTGTTTCTAGAACATTGCTGTCACACAGTGGGTACTTAATAAACAAATACTTGCTGAGGGAAAATGGGTTGGAGTTACCTTGTCCTTGGCCAGGCTGCTTCCTCTGGTCCCCAGGCCTCCTTTCAAAGTGTGCCAGCACCTGTTCTTCCCGGTCACATGACCCTTTATAGTGTGACCTTTACCAAGGTGACTGCCTGTTTCATGCACATCACACATCATTGATTACCCACACCCACATGATTTCAGTGCTCTCCCTCCGGATACATGTCTCAGAGGACTGGTGCATCTCAGAGAGTCCACTGGGAAATTTGGGGTTTAGGGGTTGGGGGAGGAGGTGCATGTTTAACAACTGACTTTTCTTCCAAGAAAGTGCCCTCATTTGTAGCATTTGCTAATTTCTGTGGCTTTTAGGCTAAGTGTCTGATACGATATGTATATGTTTGATCCTTAATTTATGCTATGCTGTAGAACAATTGTTTTGAATTAAAAAAAATTTATCAGGTCTCAAAAAAATGTCTGTGGCCAATTTCAAGCTGGTTATGAAGTCAACCAGCTTGCAAAATTTCTGAAAATTTAAAAATTAGCCTTCGCAAGCCAATTCCAGCACACAGTTGGGACATCAAATCTTCTTTCCATGCAAATTCACTTTGAGTACCAGCTCCATGTCCCTACCTGCCTGGAAAAATATCCCATCTCAGCCTTGCTGTCACTTCACACCCAATCAGGAGTCCCACCCTGACCCCCTGGGTAGCTGATTTGAGCAAGAAATGGGTACTTGACTGTGTGTAGAGTTTACTCTTGACTTTCCAAAACATTGACTCATTACAGGCTTTAGTTGCTATGCTGTAAAAATGAGCGAGGGAGCCAGTGGGTTGTAAGGTCTCTTTCCCTTTTATAATCTGGGATTTAATATCTACAATCAAGCTAATTTACTATTTTCCAAAAATAGTCTCTCTTTTCTGTCATTCTCACTCAGTCTTCCAATAACTTAAGATCAAAACTCCTTTTTCTTTACCTCTACACTCTCCTTTGTTCCTCATTACCGAGGTAACACTAGACAAAGCCTGTTATTGCACGTTACTGCTGCTGCTGCAGGCCCTTGTCACTTCATGACTGAGGGCATGCCCCATACGCCAGTATACTCCCTATGACACTCTGATTCACCTTCCAAAAACACCGCATATATTCTTTCCTGGTTCAGAAACTTTCAGCAGGGCCCACAATTGTTTGAGTCCTCTGTGTAACTTTGAAGTTCCTTTTAGTACCAGCTCCATCCACCTTTTTAACCACACCTGACTGTCGGTGTCTCTCTCCCACATGCCCAGCCCATCACTGCGAGATTACCTCTTCTTCCCCTCCGCACACTGTAGCTTCTCTTCTGTCCAAATTCTGCTCCTGCCCTCAGGAACACACACAGGTGTACATTCCTTAGGATATCTTTCTTCTATTGAGTGATATCCTGTCTGGACTGCTCACTTTTGTTTTGGGTTCTCTTTTTTTTTTTAAAATATATTTTATTGATTTTTTTACAGAGAGGAAGGGAGAGAGACAGAGAGTTAGAAACATCGATGAGAGAGAAACATAGATCAGCTGCCTCCTGCACACCCTCCACTGAGGATGTGCCCGCAACCAAGGTACACGCCCTTGACCGGAATCGAACCTGGGACCCTTCAGTCCGCAGGCCGACGCTCTATCCACCGAGCCAAACCGGTTAGGGCGGGTTCTCTTTTTATAACTATTGAGAGGTGATTTACATACTGTACAATTCACACATTTGAAGTGTACAATTCTGTGGTTTAGGTCCAGATATGTGCAACCATCATCATAATCATTCCCACCCCCAGAATAACCTTCTTACCCTTTAGTTATCAGTCCCCAGTCTTCTCAAAGTCCAAAGTAACCACTAATTTACCAGCACCATTTGTTGAAGAGACTATTCATTTTCCATTAAATTGTCATGGCACCTCTGTCAATCAATTAACCATATGTAGGTTTGTTTATAGATTCTCAATTTTCTTCCACTGCTGTATGGGCTTGGTCTTCTCTTGTCCTGTATTATTAATTAGCTATTGATTTGCATCAATCTTAAATATTAGAGGGACTCAATTATCATCATCATTATTATTAATTTTTTTAGTTGCTAAAAAAGGTTCATGCTAAAAAATTAAAACTCAGAAGTGTCCAAAGTGAAAATCCTACCCCAGCTGCTCCTGCCCCCACTTGCAGGACTTTGTGTTTTTTATGTGGCCTTTTAGACTTTCATATCTGAACAGATACTAGTACATGTATTTGTATGTATGCATACAAATATGTGAAAATTCAAATGCATTTTCACATTTGTGAATATGCATATGCATATATTGTCATATTTATAATTGTATGTCTACCTTTTTTATAATTGTATATCTCTTTTTATAAAATTGAGATATACAAAGTGTTCTATGACTTCACAAAATCACCAGTATATCTCATACATCCTTTTGTGACAGTTACATGTCTTACTTCATTCTTTCATAATGGTTCCATAATATTTCCTAGAAGGTATACACCATTATTTCTTTAATCAGTTCTCTATTGTTGCATATTTATATTGTTTTCTTTCCTTTTTTTCTATTTCAATGCTGCTGTGTACATGTGGGAGCATTTTTCTCGGCTGGATACCTGGAAGTGGAGTTACTGATCCTGACTTTTTGTCTTAAAGTCATTTTTATATTTTCCCCTCAACTGTGCTTTATGATGCTTTGCACATATTAGGCACTTAGTAAATATTTACTGAAGTGAACACTTAGGGTTTTCATTCTTGATTTATCCTTAGCTACTATTTCATTTCGGTAAGCTGTTTTATGACACCCTCATGCCTATTTCACTTCCTCTAAAATGAATGAATGTTTTGGTTATTCAGTCTTTATTACAGGGAACTAAGGTGAAATGAGTATGTGTGGCACTGGGGGCGGGGGTGGTACACAGAGGTGAATAATTGAAGGTATTTACAACCATTAGGATGAGGCAGGTAGGATGTGTGCTATGTACCTAAGAGGCACATATGAGCTCTAATGGGAGTGTTAAGGAAGGAGAGAAATGCTACTTCACTTAAGTGCTATCAGGGAAGATCTCACAGAGGAGGGGACACTGAGCTGCCCTTAAAGGAAAGGTAAGATTTGGGCAGGTGGAGGTGTACCGGGGGTGGAGGGGCTCCTGGTGCATCTTGGCAGAGGAGCAGTGTCATGAATTGAGAGGCGGTGAGAAAAGTGAGAACTCAGGTTCCATTGAGTGCAGGGTGCGGGCAAGGAACAGCAAGAGATGAAGCTAGAGAGCCCACAGGGACCAGACAGGGTGTTGACCCTCATCTAGTAGGTGCTGGGCCATTGCAAGAGGTTTTGGAATGGAATTATATTATTGGAGTTGGTCTTAAGGAAGTGGTGTCAATGGTCAGTCTGGGATATGGATAAAGAGTAGTCTTCATTCCAGAGGTTCCTATGATATAACTTTTTCCCATTCCTCAATCCTTCCCTTAGCTTTCTGAAAATGTGGTCAACCGCATGAAGGACTCCAGCCAGCCTTCCCAAGTGGGCCAGCTGACTTTGCCTCCTGCTCCTCCATGTTCCACATTGGACACATCTAAAGGCCCGGAGAAAGGTACGGCAGGTTGTAGTGATTCTGTGGGAAGCTGGAGTAGAGTGTGGAAGGAATGGAAAACCATGCTCCTGTCAGAACATATGTGACAGCTCCTGTGGCCCCAGGTGTTTCTGGGTGATGTCAGCAACTCCTTTCTGATACCTGCTTTGGAGGAGAGTGTGGCTTTTGTGCATGACGGATGCTGTCTGGTATAATGAGAGCAACACAGGTCAGTCCGAGCTTCTGTGACGGGGGCCAAACTGTTTCAGTTTCTCTGTATGTAAAAAGTAAGGCTGAAGGGTTTGGCTTGACAACCCCTGTAAGAAGTTGCTTTTAAGGATTCATAAGTGAAGCATAATCATTAGTGTTGGTATGGTCCAAAGAATGATAGATTTACGTGAATTGGGACCATTTGGGGGAATTGAGTCGATGACTTTGGCGTCATCTTCAGCAACTCTAACCCTAACCTAGCCCACAGGTCCTGGTGCTCCCAGGAGGGCCTTCCACTCTGCACCTCCGAGGAGTACTTTCTGTACCCATGCAGGGCTCAAAGCTGATTTGTGTTCTACTCTTTTGTGCCCATCACAAATGAGGAAACTTGTGCTTTTCTCTAAATAACTATTTTCAGCAAACACAAAGGAACAAAAAGTTTAAGGAAACAAGTGTAAAGGACAAAAATATAAAGATATTAGAAACCAAAAAAGTTATGGGGCAATTGCTGTTCTATTCAATAAATACGTGCTTATGAGAAATTGGGTCTTAGCTATCACTTATAACTTGAAGTGTATTTTTTAACTGATTGGAGGAGCCAAGGCACTGTAGAGCATAAACTCTGTCTTACAGTGGATAACTGTTCATTGCATTGTATGTGGCCTTGCATTAGAGTTGTCTTTTCTGCTAATCCTTCCTATAAGGTCATTAGTTCATAGAAGGCAGGAACGATATCCTGTCCACTCAGCATTTACTGAAAGCTAAACAGGGATCAGGACGTGTGCTTCATACTGGGACACAGTGGCAGGTAGACAGGGACACCACTCCTATGGCACCCAAAGCTCTAGTTAAGGAGCCATATATACAAATAACCCTGTAGATCACATGTATCATGTGATGTTGCAACACTAGATGCATGGCTAAAGTCTAAGGTAGCACAGAGCAGCGAGTGACTCATAATTTTAGGGCGGGGCTCCAAGGGGAGCTGATTTTTAAACTGGATTTTGAAAGAGCAGTGGTAGGTAGGCAGTTTAGGCATGGTGAGCAGCAGAGGCCCAGAGGTGGCACAGCCTGGCCTGTTTGGGGACCTAGCGATGGTTTGCTATCTCTGGAGTACAAAGTGGAAGGAAAGGGGAGGTGTCCTGGAGACCTCCGCACATTGGCCAGAGAGCTCCGGCTTCATCCTTATGGCCATGGTGCCGGCCAGGCTGTCAACACCTCTGCCCCTGTATTGTCTGTCTCAGGGCTTCCTAAACTTTAGAGAAAATCAGTACCTCCTTTTGGACCCATCCCAAGATCTTTTTGAATATTCTATTAGTGAAGGGGCTGAGTGAGGTTCTCAAAACCCGCATAAGATGCCCCCGTCCTTTATTAAAAGGGCTAGCTCCCATTATCTCTCTAGCTGACTGATTCGTTGAAGTGGGTCTAACTTAACCCAGGGCATTTTAATAAGCTGCATTAACTGGTGAGAGGGAGAAGTGATGAAAAAAGCAAAAATTGCTAAAATATATTATGCACACATCAATTTCAGCTTTGGATGATAAAAGAAGCACTTATTTCAGTTTTGGTAAGTTTCAGTAGTTTAAGAAGCAAGAATTGTGGCTCATTTGTCATTTAATTTTAGTTATAACAAAGTGTTTTACTGTTTAAATGATGAGTGTGAGTTTTGAGTTTCTGAATGCTGAAGAATAGTCAGCATAAATGAACTGTCTTGAAGTTGCTAATTTTAAAATATTTTTACTTTAAAAAGTCAGTGTTTGCTTTTATTTTAGTGATAGAATAAGTTATAAAAAGAAGTTAAAATTAAATCCTTATGTTACCTCATACCTGAAAATAAATGTCAGAGGCAATACAAGGTTTAAATATAAGAATTGAAGCCATAAAAATACAATGATACATAGAAGTACAATAAGTAGACTTTCGAGAAAGAAGAACAAAGTAGGTGGAATCTCAATACCAGATATCAAGCTGTATTACAAAGCCACTGTTCTTAAAACAGCATGGTACTGGCATAAGAACAGACATATAGATCAATGGAATAGAATAGAGACCCCAGAAATCGACCCGAACCACTATGCCCAATTAATATTTGTCAAAGGAGGCAAGAGCATACACTGGAGTCAACACAGTCTCTTCAATAAATGGTATTTGAAACATTGGACAGATACATGCAAAAAGATTAAACTAGACCACCAACTCACACCATACACAAAAATAAACTCAAAATGGATAAAAGACTTAAACGTAAGACAGGAAACCATAAAAATACTAGAGGAATCCACAGGCAGCGAAATCGCAAACATATGCCGAAGGAATTTCTTCTCTGATACTGCTCCTAGGGCAATGGAAACTAAAGAGAAAATAAACAAATGGGACTACATCAAAATAAAAAGCTTCTGCACAGCAAAGGAAACCATCAACAAAACAACAAGAGGGCCCACTGCATGGGAGAACATATTTGCCAATGATATCACCGATAAGGGTTTAATCTCCAACATTTACAGGGAACTCATGCAACTTAACAATAGGAAGATAAACAATCCAATAAAAAAATGGGCAACGGACCTAGATAGACACTTTTCGAAAGAGGACATACAGAAG